AAAATGTTCCATAATTGGACAACAGAAATGTCTACAGTAATGCATAATAAGTCAGTTATTGCTTGTATTCAGTAAGCAGTAAATGAAAAAGAATTTATTTGTTTGCATTTGAAGATGAGTCTTGAACATAGCAGAAAGGGATTGGTGAAAGTTATTTATCTATCACCACTCTTTGGGTTACATAATGCTCGGTTATATAAATCGGATGTCATGTAACAGGTTGCTAACTCTTAATTAGCATTGAAGGTTCTCAGTAAGATGAAAGAAGAAATGTTTTTATATATTATATTTCATAAAGTATGCTGTGGAGTTTGCAATTTACTTTGTTAACTATTAGGGGAGAGCTTCGGGTTTGGGCTAACCATGAGTTTGACATGAACTTAGCCTATTTACAGTTCTGTGAATAGGAGAAAAAATTTGCCCAGATTTGGCCAGTTCACCCACCTAAACCTCTGGCTGATGAAGCTTGAAGTTATGCATTTAGCGGCTGTATCACTATTGCCTCTAAATGACAGATTCCCAGTGCCTTGTTTCAAATTGTAAACAAGATGGTGGGGATCCCGGGTGACGTCATTGACCAAATACGATAGTGAATTATTTCTTCAATGACATCACCCTGGACAGCATCATCGTTTTGTTGGGTGTGGGGTATATGGTAGCCCTTTTAATTAATTCACAAAAAAAGTAAATAAAAACAACCACACAATTGAAGAAAAAGTCCTTTAATAACCCCTCCCCCAAAAAGTAATATCCCACACTGGGAATCTAACATCATTTACATCATCCAACGATGTAGATCCAGCATCAATCATGATGTTCAATACCTGAGAATCTGCCACCACCACAATCTTGTCCCATTGCTACTCCTATCAAAAATGAAATGTTCTCAGGACTGCTATATGCCAACAAATTGGCTGGGGATCTAGGATGATGTAACTGACCACATATGGTCATATTTGGACAACTAGGATTCCTTGGCTGCTTTGTTTACAAACAGAATTAAACCATGTACCTTGGTTGAGGGGGGGGGGGCCCTTGCACCTCTCGTCCAACACCCCCAGAAGTGGGGACAGGGAGCGTGTGAATGCCGAATAGCATGAATGCCGGTGTAGTAAGCGGATTCTGCATGGGGTCCAGTGCCAGGTCCAGTGACCCAGAGACAGGTGGCAGCCCAACAGAGGTCAGGCTGGGACAAGAGTCAGAAGCAAGCCAAGGTCAAGCCAGTCAGGCAGTGAGGTACCAAATGGTAAGCCAGGAGCAAGGTCGGGTCACAGTGCAAGGTCAGGAACAGAGGATCAGCATTGTACAATGCAGGAGACAGAAGGCAAAGTTCAATAAACAGGCCCCAGTCACAACAGGCAGGCAGCAATCAAAAGGGGAGGTCATGAGGCAAGCAGGGCAAACACAAGAATCTAAATAGGCAAGTAAGGTCACAGGTACACAGGGAACTAGCTGAAGACCATTGAACATTTTGTGCACATTACATACCCATTTATATAGGCCTGTTCAGTAATGTACCTCCTATGCTATTTCCCGTGCACTACCCCATTAGTCCATGTGCGCATCCTTTCATGCATGCATCTTTCCATGCGCATTCTCAGGTGCACCTGCGCGTTAATGCATGTTTGACAGTTGTTCTGAATAGAGGACTATGAGGCATGTGCTGGGTTTCTGACATGCATAGGACTTTTCTTACAAACCAGGAAACCATTTAGTGGCAGTAGTTTTTAATGTTACATTTAAAGGAGTACATCATACTGATATGCAGCTTCACAAGTATTTATGTTGACCTTTAAGTCCGATTTAAACATCCTGCTGAACAGTATTTAAAAAAAAATTTTTTGCATTGATACCAGGGCTGGTGCTGCCACTAAGCAAACTAGGCAGCCGCCTAGGGCGCACTGCTGCCTAGGACGCACTGCTACCTAGTGTGCAGCCTTGACCATTCATGCCCTCCTTCTATTTCAAATTGCAAAAACCAATAGGAGGCTGGATATTGCACTCGCAGAGGAGCATAACTGAGAGACAAATTTCTCTATCGGGTTCTCTCCTCCACTCAGTGGGAGGGGTTTCAATAGCCAGTCTGCTATTGGCTATTTCAAATTAAATTACATCCACCTGTTGCCTGTAGCAGATAACCCGCAGGAGAATGAGGCTGTGCAGGGTGGGGGGATTGGGGGTTGCACCACGGGAGGGGGGGTGCAAGTAGCTGGTCTTGCCTAGGGCACAACATAGTCTAGCACCTGCCCTGATTGGTAGATGTCCTTTATGGCAGTGCCCGGCTACTCATGTCTTTTTTTAACAAAAGCTTGCAGTTTGGCATTCAAAAAGACCAGACAAAAAGTTACAAGATTTATATAGTCAGCTGCTCTGACTATTTAGCGACTGGGATCTTCTGTAACTGGACCTGCAACTTTTTCCAGCTTAGGCAGTATGCAATGGATCTACTTGCAGGATCAAAAGATAATAAAAGTAAATAAAATAATTTTTTTTTATTATGCCCATAGTTTTACTTTAGCACATATGAATACAAGCTGACCACTGTAATCAGCACTACAAGTGTTTACAAAACAAAAACAGCTGTTAATGATAGTGACAGACTGCATTATACTGTGTACATATTTTTTGCATTTTGATTTCAGCCGTACCAGCCTGAAGTGAATAGCCGAACAGTGTTCGGCTCACTTCACTTCTGATCGGTCATTCACTCGGCTGCCCTCGGCAGCTTTGTGAATAGACCCCATAGTTTCACTTTAAATCTTTATTTTACAATACTAACTATAGACATTATTTTTTTTTGTAGTTTTCAACAAATTGGAGATGGGTTATATTTTCTGTCACTTTTTTATTTCTGCCTGTAAGCACAATGGGGAGATTTTCCCATACTTCCTCTTCCTGTGATGACCATATTGTAAACAGTGGGGGGAAAGTTATTGTCACAAAAACAGATAGACACAGACAGTACATTGCCAGGAGGTCTAACCCTACCTTGCACTACTCAAAATGTGTTTGTGTCAGTCTCCCTTTTGGAAACTTTTCCCATGGACAGGAAGTGAGGGAAACGTCTACCAGATCAGGATACGAATGGCACTAAAAATCTGTTAGGCTTTAACTCATCCTTATGTTTTCCCAAACTAAATAAAACGTTGAAACTGTAACTGAACTTTAAAATCTGTAGTTGCGACTGTTCAAATACCCCTGGCAGTTTTAGAGGATGGACCTTTTTAATAGGTTTGTGACAAATGAAGCAATTCAGTGCTGCCAATACAATTTCACCTTTTATTGATTTTTCTGCCATAATCTGAAATCAGAATGGTTGATGTGAGTTATTGCATTTTGTGCATCCTTATTACAATACTGCGTTCCTTAAGCCCCAATGTGAATACACGATCTAAAAACAAAAGGGTGCAATTGGTCCATCTTTTGTTACTTGCTTGTTTGGCTAGATTAAAAAATGCTACTTTCCTGCCTAATTACCTAATATTGACCAACTAACAGATTCAGTCAATGTACAGGCAATGCAGTTACTTTGTTGTACTGGAAAAAAAACCTCATAATCTCCGTTATAGCCTTTTATTGCTGGTATAATTTGTAGTCTGACTTGCTTCACCAATTAAGAACTGTGCACCATGAATTCATTGTTTCTTTACTAACCCATGTAATAATTTTGGTTTAAAATGACTGTTATTTTTTTTTTAAAGTAAAAGAATGTATAAAAGTTCCCTGCAATGAGGGATGTTCAGATACCAGTGCAGATACTTGGCATTTTCAGAAGACCTACCAGGGTCGTGGCTCCACCACTGTCCTGAAATCATTAGTCTGTACTGTTTTAGAAAAACTGTCACGTGACAATAAACAGAAATGCATCAGTACTTGTATCTGTGAGTACTTGCACAAGTATCAGTACTTGTATTTGAAAAAATGGTATCTGTGCATCCCTAATATATATGTATTTAAAAAAATCATACATTAAAACAGGAATGCACAAATCCCAGGAGCTCTGTATGCTCCTTAAAAATGACAGCTGCCTCCTAACTTTTGGATTTTTCTCTAGTTTAGTCTTGGAGCTGGAAAAGTATCTGTACTTGTACTTGTACCAAGTGTACTTGGTATCTGAACATCCCTACCTGCAATTTATTTATCTGAATACTTACCTCCCTGGTGGGTGGCTAGTTCGAGCTCTGCTGTGTTTAAGAGCTACAGCCTCTGGAAAGATCTTCACATCTGACAAACTTGTCAGATGACCCAGCTCTTCTTCTCTTTATGTGTTTCTTCCACCAGCCTCTTCATCACTACTGTGCTCTGTAGTGATGTTGGGTTGGCAAATGGAACCATGCCGGAGGCTGTAGGGTCTCAAATCAACAGACTCATCGCCTGCTGAAGCTCCTATTGCAGGGGGCTTTTATTGCTTTTTAGGTGACACGGTCATTTTAAGCAATTTTAGTAACAGAAAGTACAACATTTAAAAATTATAGCATAAATGCATTCACTGCTTGTTTTCATTATTTTGGCCCCATTTGAACTTATATGGTCAAAACAGCGTATAAATCATGTACTTCTGTGTTAGACAAGAATGACTCCACCAAACAGCAGTTAATCCTATTTTATCATGTAACAGACAAATATGACAGTAGCAGGAATATCAATTTTTGTTATGATTTTGTAAACTAGAAGTAAACTAGAAGTGAAGTAAACTAGAATATTGCCTTAGGGGAAAATCTGATATACTTGTGCAGACGCTTGTAATCCTCATGTTTATGTAAAATATCATAGCTTTGCATTGTTCCATGTTCTTAAAAATGGAGATGTAGGTTTTTATATACTTATCTGTTTTATGGTTTCATTTCATTTATATTTATGGTTCAATATTCTGTAACCACTATTCAACTGTGTGATCTCATAAAAAGAATTATGATATGCTTTTCAATATACCAATTTCTGTCTTCTTTCTGATGTATATATTCATGCTTACTAAATTCCGATTTTTGTTCATTTTATAGCCACTGCTAGCAGCGCAACAGTTGGCATCCGCTGTAGCTGGAGTGATGCCAGGAGGTGCGCAGGCCCTCAACCAGCCTATCCTCATCCCATTCAACATGGCCGGGCAACTTGGGGGGCAACAAGGACTGGTTCTGACATTGCCTACAGCCAACCTTACAAATATTCAAGGTCTGGTGGCAGCTGCTGCCGCTGGGGGTATAATGACTCTGCCATTGCAAAATTTACAAGGTACGTTTACTCATTTACATGCAAAATACAGACTATCTTTAACTAGTTACACATTGAAGACTTTTAAAATTAAATTCTGTAGCAATAGTGTGATCTGTTGTTTGACAAAAGATTCCAACAATTAAATATATGGTTAAAATTTAACAAATCCGCTGTTCCTAAAGTTCACATCTGTACTATCATTGTGATGCAAGCAGAGTATGACTGTCATTTAGCCAATCATTTTAAAGAGGTCTACAGAGGACCTCTTTTAGTAGCTGAGCTGTGCTACTAAAAATTCTAGAGGTTAATCACTAGGAGTAGTCATTAATGGAACGCATGGCTCCATATGGAGTAAACTCTACAAGTAGCATTTAGTAACAATCAATCTAATATGATTTTAGAATGTTTTAATCATTTGAGATTGATCACTACAAAATATTACTTCAGGCTACTTGGTTTGCTTATTCCATAAGGAGCTGTTTGTTACTCCTATAATATATATCAAAGTGGATCTATCTTTAAAATGTACCCAAATCAGTAGGGCATATGCCAAGTCAAAATATTATTTTGAGTTTAAAAAAAAATATTAATTGTTTTCGCTCATACACAGTAGCCTTGGGTTTGGGTCAACTATAAGTTCAATCCATACTCATTCTGTTCACAGATTGCTGAAGGAGCAAAGAAAAAGGGCCAGATTTGGCCAGTTTGCCTACTGGCCTAAACCTCTGGCCAACACAGCTGGAAGCAATTTATTTAGTGGCACCACTAAATGACAGCCTTACCTTTTTGTTTCAAAAATTTCAAATTGTAAACAAGCTGATGGCATCCCAGGTGACATCATTGACCATATAGTCATGACATATTTGATCAATTACCTAACTCAGGTTCACCAGTGCTGTTGTTTACATTCCAGCAGCATATGAGAGCTGTCATTTGCGATGATCATAGTGGTGGTACAGCATTGTCATTGCAGTGGGTCATCATGGCGCAGCTTATCTTGTTAGTGGGTTATCGGAGCATAGTTCATTGTGATTGATGCAAAATCTCCATTACTGTTTGATGTGATCGACATTGGGGGATATTGTTTATTTTTTTAATAAAGGACGTTTTCAACGGTGTGCTTTTTTTGTGAATAAGTAACAAGGGGTAAAGGCAGCTTCCAGATTCCCATAAGTCCACCCCACAGACCCCCACATCCACCGGAACAGGGATGTGGGGGATGAGGCCTTTGTCAACATCAACATGGGACAAGGTGCCTTACCAGGAGAGAGAGATATTGTGGCCCCCTCCCTGGCAAGGTACCCTCCCAATGTTTAGGTTATGTGGTCTAGTATAGTTCAAGAGGGGAGCACCCTCTCACTAGCCCCCCTTTCCTGGCTAGCCAGGCTGCATGCCAGGATAATGGTATAGTAAGGATTTGGGGATCCCATATATTTTTTTCCTAAAAGGAGAGTACACATTTTTTTGTAAACAGTGGGTAGTGTCCCTTTAAAAAAAGGAAACAGCATGGGGCCCCTCCCCCCATAATCCATACCAGACACTTATTCTGGCATGCAGCCAGGCTGGCCAGGAAAGAGGGGGCAGCAAGTGTAGGAACAAAGCCTCCCTCCCAAGGCACCGTGGGATGACATGGGATGGGAACAAGGACCTCATCCCCAGATTCCTGGCCTGGTGGATGTGGGGGTTTGTGTGTGTGTG